TTCTCTCCTTACATATCATTAATTTAGTAATTAAAAATCACTGGTACATCAAAGAAACACTTCTGTGGAGATGCTTTTAGAATTTCTTTTTTTTTTTCTTCTCATTTTGTAAGTAGTCAGATGGCTAATGATGACAAACCATACATATCAAAGTATGATTCATTAATTTGTAATAGCATACATATCAGTTCGCCTTCCACAATACAATAAAATACATATCAAAAAATGATTTTTCTGCTTTTATTTTTCTTTATTTTTGTTTGATGTTGTATTTTCCCTATCATTTTAAAATAAAGAATCTTATTGTTCTTCATCGTATGATTATATTTTATTATTTACAAAACAGAAAATATAACATGAAATATACTGTTTGTAATTTTTTATCATCGGAATTAGAATTATGAAATTTTAAGAAAATATATTCTATTGATAATTAATTATTGATGTTAACTCTATTAGATATTAGACTATCATAATGATTTAACATCCAATCATATATTTTATATGATATATGTAAATTATCTTTTGAACTTTGTCTATCCATTAATGTTTTAAGTAATGATTGTTTTGGTTCATCAATATATTTTGTTATCCATCTAAAGTATGATAAAGAACAAAAAAAAATTATTTCAAAAAAATAAATAAATTTATTGACCTTAAAACATCAGTTTCTGATCGACCGAAATCATTCCTATACCAAAGAAATAATTTTGATAAACGAATTTCACGATTTTCTGGTATAATATCAACTTGTGAATTACAATAAGATGTTGTTGCCATATTTAAAGCTTTTTCAATATTAGTTGATGAATAAATAGCTATTTGTGGAGATGAACGTGAACCACGATTAAGTGTAAAATGAATACGTGGATCACAACGACGCATGGAATATTTTGCACGAGGATCATTAAATGTAAAATGACGTTGAGTACAATTTGAATGAGGTTTATTACCTTCATTAAAAAAAAAAAAACAGAAAAACAATTTTAAAAAAATCTATAATAAATTTCAAATCGAACCTCGTAAAATGCCATGTTCAATATCATCTAATGAATAGAAATGTGCACCAATTTTATATGATGTTGTTTTCCAAAATTGATTTAAATCAAGAACAGATTTTGGCACATCAGTTAATGATACAATACCATGAATTGTTAATATATTATACAGATCTAAGAAAGATAAAAACAAACAAACAATATCAATAAGATTTTTTGTTTTCTTTAGTAAGTATATAACTAATTGTGACAATTACTGATAAATAATGTTTTACGTTCATTTTCTGTGACATTATCAAGATTAATTGTTGTCAAATGTTTTGCCATTTCACATAAATCCTTATAGATATTACTTGTACGTAATTGATAATAGTTAATTA